AGGAGGCCACCCACAGGGCGCCTGCCTCGGGAAACCCCTCCAGTGTGAAGCCTATGTCGGCCTATATACACATATGACCATTAAGACCCTCCGTAAGCCCCGGCCAGGAAGTTGGAAGTATGGTCGTGGTCGTTTTCTGTCTGTCCTCTCGCTCTCTTGACGTTGGAGGTGCCGCGTACTACAAGTATCTGATGAAAAGGACCTACTCAAAAGGAAATGGCGCAGACCTTCATGTCTCTCAAGTTGAAGCCTTGGTCCCCTTCCTGCTATGGGCACTCTCTTTCTTTCTCTCATCTCTACCACCATCTCTACCGCCATGAACAACTGTGCACTTGCGATGACTTCGCGCACTGTTGAACTTTATCTACAGAGAAGCACCTGCTCATTTATTCACTGCTTTGCTCAGCTACCAGTGCGAATCTTTGTCGCATCCGGGGGCTGTGGAGGCTGTCGAGGTGGCAACCTGACAGCCAAAAAAGAAAACGGCTAGCAGGGACATGGGCTCAGGGATCCAAGTTGTGAAAACAGTCAAGGAGGTCTTACGTAGCATTTTGAAAACGACACACCTACGGCATCGCGAGTGGTTTGGGTGTTTCAAGAGCGGGCAAGCGGGTGTTTGGATTTGACACAGGGAAGAACTCAGCGCATATGCACGTGTATTTATGCTTACACAGACTTCGTGCAAAGATCCTACATGCTGTTCGCTGCCATTGGTGTTTGCGATGTCGGGCCAAATCCGGAACCTATGTTTTTGTTGCATCCGTCGGAATGAAAGACACAGGAAATCTTGCCCCAAGTCCTACACCCCAGCCGTTCAAGCTAAACCGAAGGTGCAAATTGACAGGCCGTGGGGCTGGTAGTCGCAAGCCGTAACTGGCTGTCCAGTCATGAGCTCAAAGAGAACTAATTCACTTGGAAACCAGGGGCGGGAAGGCTCAACGTGTATTGGGCAATACGGCGCCGTTAGATTTGCTGTGCTGTATAGGCAATGAGTTTCAAGCCTTGTTTTCCGGATGTGATTTTCCGAGCCATATGTCTTCAGCAGACATTGACTTGAGGTCCCAAACAGACATCGCGAGGGATGCAGCTGAAATGTCGAGAGCTTCCTTTTTGATGCCATGGGCCTCGGCGCGTTCCAGCGGAAGAGCTGTGTGCCTCGCCAGCCTCAGCAGCAGGAAGTAGGCCAGGCTCCGTGACGAGCATATGTCACTGCACAACCAGGGGCAACCAAAGAAAGACCGGACCTCAACATCCAGATAAGAGTCGAGAGCACATGCGCTGGTTGCAAACACGTGCATCAACTCAACATAGTTCAGAGCTGCCACAAGCATTCCTAAAACGCTGGGCGAAAACAAATCACGATGCCACAGACCACGATTTCAAGACGGCACAAACCCTTGAGTGACGCCGGGAACATAGGATGTGCCACCAAAATTGGGCCGTGAGGAGCCTCGAAATTTGGAGGAGATCTGCGTTGAATGCATAGTACCCAAACAATCTGCCACCAAAAGCCCGAAATCTGGTTCTTAGCATGCTGTGTTGCAGCACGTACACATCAAGGCTCACAAACTACTGGTTCGCAACCTTCAGTATGTAGTGGCCCTCATCCTCATCCAGGCTCGCCAGCACTGCTCGCCTGTGAAAGACCACGCAGCCGCAGCAAGCCAAAGAAGGCATGTTTAGCCCAGCAGCTGCCAAAAATCTGAGACAGCGCTGGTACAAATGGGACGATGCCTCAGAAACCATCCGATGTTCAGTGCAAGTGTACTCCCGCGACGGATGTCCGTAGTCAATACCAAAGGCAAACCAGAACCCCAGTCGAACGTGAGAAATTCGAACACTTGACGAGTCAGAAGTTTCGTGTAGGCTTCTTGATTTGGGGCCAACATGGATGAAGGCAGGAGGCTCATTGCAGGATGTCAGCTCCACTAAGATTTATTTTGAAATTAATTTGGCTCCTCTGACGCTCTTCTATTGAATTGTTCCATCCTTCGCGCAATCAAGCTCTCATGCGCAGTACTCCGGTTATGCAGAGGCCGGCACTGCAGATCTGATTGTATGGAAGCATCTGGAACTAGACGCGCTGCTTGAGAAGCGCTGCTTGAAAAGCTTGAGAAGAGAGCACGGTATGGCAAGAAAAGCCAATAGCCTGGGACGGAGCTATGGTTAGCCAGTAGTGGCCAAGATTGCAGGCTCATGCACGGTTCGGCGACCTGACAACCCGCCTGCGTGAGGGCCCATTTGCATTCACACAGCAGCCCTGGCGGACGATAAAGCAAACATGTGTCCACGCTCCGCTATGAGCTGTAATCCGCTCCAATGAGGACTCCGTGCCCTACCATTTCCTGATTTGGAATTTCTGGCCTGCAGATGTAACTTTACACCCATACCGGGCAGTTGTGCCCAGACGACGAGGTTTTGCCAGAAGCAAGGCTCCGTCCCCAGCACACATGTTAATATGATGAAGTGGGGTTCGCCAAGAAGCGTGGAAGTGCCTCATCCGTAAGAAAATGTTCAAAATTTTTTCCGGACCTCACAGATTGAGCATACAGGGCGTTTCTGGGCTAGAGGAAGTTCCAACCTGTGGCGTGCGTCAGGAGATTATATTCCAAGTTGCGACAAGAACGCGGCAGTGGTGTATCACATGTGGTTATCACACAATACTCGTGCAAGACAGCAACTGAGTGACTCAGTGCCAGGCAGCCAGTACGCTTCGATGGACTCCACATCTTCATGGAAGTAAAAGAAAACTCGGACACCGCAGAGCCAGCTCCAAGATTTTTGTTGCCGCCGCATTGCTTCTAGAGCCTGCCATGCCGCCAAACAAGTTTGACTGCACAGGATGCAAACAGGCAGGGCCTCCGCCGTTCCCATGGAGGTCAAGGCCAGCTTTAGCTCCATCGGCGCTCGCCAGAGCTCCGCAGCAGGCTGGGAGTCATGATTCAAGAAATCACCTTTCAAGCCCACAGGTGAAGATGACAGGAAAAGCTTAGAAAACTTGAAAGAAGAACGAACCGGAAGTTGTCAGATTTCCTAGTCAGCGAAGCATCCAGGAATTCGTCATGGCCAGCACGTTGACATTTTCGACCAATCCCGATTCCTCAGCAAGTGTGGGCGGAAAAGTCCATATACCCGATATACCCTTTCTTGCATGCCACTGTCGGCCTGAGACTGCGTATGTGAACAGTTGCTGGGGCCGTAGCAGCAGATGTGTACTCCATAGTGCGCAGGTCCATCCCACAGAGACTGGGGAAGTGCCCTCGAATCCAATGTCGCACTCAAAGTCACGGAGAGCCGTCGGGAGGCTGTCCAGGGTGAAGTGGCCGTTGTCGACAAGGGCCCTGGCGACCCTGATGATGAGCTCGGCAGGAAGCTCAGATCGACGCCCCACGACGCAGGGCATCAGCCCGAACCAATACGGGCCTGTAGACCACTACAAGTAGTCGAATGGGGAGACGCGCAGCAATCTGCAAAGCAATAATTTCTGTTTTAACACATCGAAACTGAGAGCTGCGCCGGGATGTGAGGACAGATACGTGCGAGCCGTAGAGGCCCTCATGGACGTTCAAGACATCGCCCGTGCCAAAGGCCTAGACGAGCCACTTGCTACACAAGCAGAAAGCGCAACTCACATGGCAATAAATTGTGCTGATCAGCTATGTGATGTGTGAGTTGCAAGTGTTGACCTGCCGTTCCCCACACCCATGTTTAGCAACCAATACTGGGGCTCTTCCAAATAGAACGGCTTAGTCACAGACTGTCCCAACAACAAGTCCCAAGCACCAGACATCGTTTTGCAGTTGCCGGGGTTTAGCTTTGTCGGCACTGAGCTGGCAGCTGAACACATCATCCGAAGCTGGTGAGCTCGTGAAGGCGGCCCCATTGTTCAACTTGGTGACCATGATAAGGGCACGCACGCACACACACACACACACACACACACCCACGCGCGTGCATGGCTGCTATATCTTTTGCTGCAACGTCTGGGTGGCTCCGTCCGGCGGCTTCCAGAAGTGAGGTCAATTCAAGAATCCAGGGTAGTCAGTTGTGTGACATTTCGCATCATCACTGGAGTAAGACACCGACGCTTTCAAAAAGTTGATGGCGACCACCAAAATTCTCTCTGTGTCCTGCACGGGTAGAAAACCAGGTCGTAAGACCTGATGCGCATCGCGCATCAGGTTGCACGCTTGTCAGATCAACTCACCTATTGTCTGAGCATTCATCGAGCATAGAATTGCAGGTAAGTCCTGCTCGCATTGTACGGTCGCGCAGCTGCACAACAATGACCGCAAGCTTTCCATGGCAGCAACAGCCAACTCAGTCGGAATGTCTGTACTGGCGCCTTTTGACCTGACCTGCCGGTGCAGGCTCCTTTGTGGATGTATCGTGAAAGGCCGGTGGGGTCTGCTGACAACTTTGAACTGGGCCATTAGCCCTTCAGAACTTCACTCGTCAACTTGCATGACTCATGAAGCTCCAAGCCCTGAATGCTGTCCGTCTTTGTTCCGAGAAGGCGGGTGGAAACCTCTTGCAGTAAGCTTTGATAGTGCTTGTGAATCTGCTCTTTTCCTCGGCTGGCTGCGTGGATCTGGAGGATCTGAGCTCATGCTTCTGCCATCCCCTAATTAGTAGGAGCGGCTCTGGGTTCTATTGCGCTGCAGGAGCAAGGTTGCCTGCGGTACTTGGATTACATTGATTACGTTGCATCAGTAACATCAAACAACCTGCCACATGAATGTGGGCCGACGGGACCAGGGCAAGATAAGCGCTCACTTCATCACATTTGCATCTCCTTGTTGCATACATACATAGATGTGGTGCATATGTTTGTACCCAGGTGGAAGGTCAGAGGGCAAAAGTGTGGCTGCCCTATCTAGGAACTACTAATGGTAGTTTCCATGTTCTTTTCCATTATCCCTATATAATCCCGATGTAACCCCATTATCCTTGAATAACCCTAAAGGCAATCTACTCAGGGAGAGCAGAAGCAGCCCAGCTCAAGCGTTCAGCCGTTTGGCGAACGCCTCCGGAGGACTGCAAGACGGGCGTGGAACCATGTCCTGTCATCAGGGATGTCTCATTGTCTGCTGGGAAGGGCGATGAAGGAGACAGATACCAATTTGAGGACACAGCATGGGGATTCGTGCTTTAAAGATGTTCGGAGGGGTTGGGATTTCCTAGACCTACACGGAAGCTCTAGCCGTGCTTGCCAGGGTCCCAAGAGTAAAGAGAACCGACAAAGCAGACGCGCAGGTTCAAACCGCGTGAGCAAGTGGGACTACTAATCACATGGTTCCACGGTTGGGAGTTCCTGCAGCAGGCTTGTCTTGCCAGTTTTTTTCCGCTGAGCTCTTCATGACTCCATGACCCCTACCCAGGGTCCGACAGCAGGAGGCCCAGCAGGCGACTACCGCTGTAGGGCGTGCGGCCGTGAACGACCCGAAGGTTGTCCAGCACGAGGACCTTGAGCCCCAGGCCCTAGACTTTCAGCTCATTGCGAGCTTCTGATGCTCATGAGTTCGTAGGTTCCCGCTACAGATTCGAAAGTGTAGAGTAGAGCTTAACAAGCAGGGTCAGTGCACTGAGCCTAAGGCGTAAGCTCAAAGCAACTGCAAGCGCAAAGCGGCGTCCCGTAGCTACGCGCTACTCCACACACTCAGAGCTCATCTTGATGCAACTTGGGGCACGTCGCCAGCATCCAGCCGGATGTATTCCTTGGCTGCGAAGGGCCCTCCAGTCAAGAAAGGCCATGCCCCGAACAAGCGCACTGAAGGAGAATCGGAACAGCTACAGGTCCTTATAGATATGCACTTGCCACCTGCTCACAACTGCAGGAAATGGTCCGACAGATGAATTGCAGAACCGCACTGAGTATTTTGTGCGGTTGACCTCGGGACGGCTTTGGGCTTGCGTCAGCTCTTCAGCGATGTTGCCCGGGCTGAATGGACACTGAGCACCAGGACGCGATTTGATTGGGTAACTCTGGCTCTGCACGCGCCTAGACTAGAAGCCTTTGCTAAGCTATTACGCCTAGGAGATCTGTAGAAATCCAACCCGGGTCAGGACTCCTCATAAAGAGCGCTTGCATTTCCAAAACAACTTACAACCCCATGCAGCACTGCGACACCCAGCCTCAACAAACCATAGCCGTAGCCTGCTCATTCCCACTTGAAGTTAGTCGCTTGACATATTGATCCGTTTTGCTCTGTCTCTTATTACATGGCAAGTATTTACAGTGTTGGCTGAGCATTGCATGGGAAGCTGAGGTGCCACAGCTGCTGCTGAGATTCTGTGCTGTCGCTGTAAGCTTTGCGGATCTCTGAGAGCTCCTGGCAAAAAGCGAAGTTGATGGGCGCGATTTTTGCAGTTGCAGCCGTTTGCTAACAGGGGCTAGTGAGTTAGAATGCTACTATATTATGCCATATCATACTACGTCACCGTATAATATACTATGTTATACTATAGTAATATACCATAATCTATATAGCACTTAAAAACGAATGCCAAGGCAACGCCGGAACTCACCGGCCAGCAAGGAAATAGATCCCAATCAGTCTGCAATGAAAGAAGCTCTTCAAGTCTGAGCCTGAGTAAACTTCATGCTCCGGCAAAACTAGCTGCGCTTTTGATCGCATGTGGGTTCTGCGTCCTAATTCTCTGCGTGCAAGGTACGGCGCGGCTGCTGGAACTTCACATGCGCTCCGCGAAGATCAGAAGAGCTTACTAGGTGCCAGCATGCGCAAGCCCAACGCTCATAGTTGCCAGGATGACTTTTTTGGTCCAGGCCTGCTCGGACAGCTCAGTGCCGTCGCCCCACAGGCAGTGGTAGGGGCGCTCGCTGTTGGGCAGCTTGCCTTACAGGCGAAGGTCAGGTCTTCCAGATTCAAGGTTTGGCATTCAAGATGGGGATGAACGGAGAAGGCTAGGAAAGGCCCACAGCATCAGGCTCCCAAGCTTTTGCCGGTATGGCGGTGAGTTCAAGAGCGGATTCTAGCGCCCTGCGCGTACCAGAATGCTGACAGGAATGAGAATCGAGACATAACAAAGGTTTAGGCCGGTTTAGGGTTCAATCCCTGGCGTCCTGAGCAAACTTTGTGACAGAACCTGAGGTCAGTCGTGAGCCCCAGAAAGATCAACTAGAGGCCTGCTGACTACTGCTAACCCCGGAAAGTGATGAAAGTCTTGTGGGTTTTCCACTGCCCTGCGCCCATTGCCGAAAAAACAGAGCCTGCCTTGCAAAGACACCCTGCAACCTCAACCTAGAAGCCAAGTCCAGAGACCTCGATGCCCTGTTCTTAAACCAGCATGCGATGCTGAGTCCTAAAGCATACCCATCATGTGTTAGCAAAGCGATCAGCTCCACAACTTCGACTGTTGCAAGCGCTTCTGGCAAGCGGCCGAAGACGGTGTGGCCGTCGAGCCACGAGCCGTGTCGGTTCAGCCTCCGTGGCGAAAAGGGCAGGGTTTAGGTTGTTTGGTTTTGGTTGCGGGGAGGGGCAGGGGAGTTTCGGTAGATGGGGTCGCAGTCAGAAGGAGCATTTGCAGTGGCAAATTCGGGAGTGCCGCGTTGGACTGAGGAACCGGTCTAGGGATGATCACCTAGCTCTGGAGAATGGCGCATGTCATGGTAGCTGCGGCTCTTCTAGACAAAATCGACCCGGACATGCTCTTAGACCTGAGGGGCCTTAGGAACCAGTATCATCCAAATGCAGTATCCACGATGCACCTTATCCTGATCACCTGCATTTCTGCATGCCATCAACCTCCAACTGACTCAGCCCCAACCAAACTCTTGACCCGAAAGTCATACTACAAATCTGTGCAAGCAGCCTGCCCTGTGTTGGAACTTTACATGCAGCCACGTTACACTGAGTTAAAGAATAGCTCGCCGTGAACAGGATGGTGGTGGAAGACTGGACCTGGAAGCATTGAGAAGCAAGTCCCAACAGTTTCCAGCTTTATATGGGCGAGGCCCGGCTCAAACAGGCCGTTCAAACCCGGCCTGGGGTGGCCTGCAATTGCAATTACCAACAGACTGGTTTGGCATCAATAAACATCACCAAGGGACACCAAAGAGTGTGGCGCAGTCTTCGGCCATCTGGATGCGCCTCGCGGGCTAGATGCAGCCACTGTCAAGCACCAGGGTTTTGGAGCCAGCGGAGCTTGAAGCCTTGCCTCATCTAGTCCAAAAATGCGACAATGACTCTGCTGACACTGACAGTATAGCTTGCCCATGAGGCCACGCCTCCAGGATGGAAAAATTGTCCTTGTTGTTGCCTTTCCTAGGATGCGACTTGGCATGACTCAGCTAGAGGCATGCCTGCATTTGTTGACCTATGGCATCACCATTCTCCGCAAACAAACACATCCTAAATCTGAGTTCAGGAAATAAGATGCTCCTGGCCGAGCATCTTCATGGCCTCTTCCACACTTTGAACCTGGAAGGCTCCCTGCCAGGAGTTGTAGAAGTCCTTGGCTGCCGGCACTGAGGCCTTCTCCATGACTAAGTCACAAAATGACCGTAGACTCCTCCTTGTTCGAGAGCGCATGACTCCTGGAATCCCGATGACGCACCGTGAAGGAGCCGAAGGCATCACTTTACTCCTAAACGTCGGGGTTGGCACAGGTAAAACCACCGCTCTACACCCAATCCGTAGCCTTGCAACAAGACTGCGTACACAATGGAGCGAGAATATCAAGATGAATGATGATGAGGGAAGCACGGGAGCAGATTTTCTTGGCTTGGGCCTCAGGGATGTTCCTTGGAGCTATCCTTTCAGTAGTGAGTGTCACAGGACCTGAAGTCTTCCCCAACTGCAGCCAAAACGCAGGCCCACAAGGCAGCCCAGAAAGGCACAGCTGAACTGAAATCCGCAAAAGCAGCAAATGAAATGCGATGCCAAGATAGCCTGCCGAAATGCAAAAGATGAAGACACAAATGTTTGGCCCAAAGCCTTGACGGGGCCAAGTGCGGACGAAGCATCTGGAGCACCCTTCTCTGCTTCCTTTGACAAGGTCAAGCTACGGAGAGGGTACGGCTTCTGGGTGTGGAGCTTTTGAGGTTCAAGGTTCACGGGGCAAGCGGCAACTTCTAGAATTCTTTGGCTTTAGAGTCTTGAATTGCAAACTCAGACGCTGGATTCGTTAGGAATAGAACGGTTTCAATCGCGATCCAGCTGCGTCGTGCAGGTACCGCACATACAGCACGCCCAGTTGGCGGAACTTGTCCAGCAAGGCTGCTGAAAGCCTACTCTGCACCTCAGGTCGACAAGCAAAGTCAGGTGAGTTGGAAAGGTAAAGAACTCGCTGACGGGGCGCATAGTGTATTGGTATGCATAACAGTTAGCGTCTAAGAGGAGACGGCGCGCAGGCACGCAGGGACGTAAAGCAGGACATCGGCAGGCACGCTAATGCCACATCTGGTGCAGCAAGCGCTGGAATTGTTACTTCGACTGTGGTGCGGCTACCACGCGAACCCCTCTGAGCAACTTTTGCAAAGTGACGGAATGAAGTCAAGCTCCATGGCCTCCAACAGCATTTTTGGCCCAAGTACTCACTGCCGCGATTTAAGTCTCCATCTCGTATTGCAGGCAAAGTCACCATCAAGTTGTCCGCCAGTGTGGTGGTTCCGTCAGTGTCTGCTTGCCGTACCATCGCGAAGGTGACGTACTTCGGGTACTCAGTAGCGTAGGCCATCTCCTCAGCTCTCGTGAAGAGGACTGCATGGGCCAAGAGACCCGAAGCGGCCAGAGTCAGAGATGAAGTTTCAGCTTTGGTATCCGCTTGGGGCATAAAAATCACTTGCAAAGGGCCTACTTTTGCAAATGCTTCTTTCAATCTGGCATGGGCTTTTCATCATGGACCTGCCCTTGAACTTTTTTCAGATTCTTCGACCTGCTTGACATGAGCAGGATTGGACAGGGAGGCTTTGGAGCATGGCGGATGTCTGAGAAGGGAGCCTGCAGGCAAAGCTGATGCAAACCCGTGAGACCGGACACAACCTGCGGAATTCACAACTAACTACCTGTCACGCTATGACCCATACCAAAACTCAAAATCATGTGCCAAGGAATAACCACCCCACGATGGTGCTACAAATTCCACCAGGTCACGTTGTGGAACTGAATCGTCAGCTCCTGTAGACTGATCAAGCAACGTTTTATTGAAAGCCGGGACTTGCAAACACCGTGTGGGCTTGAGGTTTAAATGCTGAGCAAACTATTTGGATGTGCGCTCCTTGCGTCCGAAGACACAAGTGAGATGGGGTCCGGTGGCCCAAAGGCTTTGCTTTCGTACAGGGACCATGCTCTTACGGCACGCGGGTCATCATGCCGACGACTGTAAGAACACTGAGCGCGGGAGTAGAAGAATTGATGGCCGAACTGCTAGGAAGAGGAGGATTGCGCCAAAGTGCGGGCCTTTGGTGCCCCAGCTGCTGAATCGACGAAGCCAGTGCCGTCGATGCTGGATCTAACAACGCCACCCCGACCATTGTAACCTTGAGCAGTTCCGCTTGGCATGTTCAAGTTATATCATTCGCCTGGCTTGCAGGTTCACAGGACCCTGACCGCAACGGGAGTCCAAGTTTGGACGGTAAAGTGGCTCCTCCTGGCATCATAAGATGCTGTTGGATTGGACTCTCCCATGGGGCTTCGGGATGAAGTAGGACCCAGGCACCCTTTCAGATTCTCCATGACCACATTGCGCTTGAGTTCTTGCGACCGTTACGCTGGTTTCGTTCCATGCCAGTTTCAAGGTCAGTCTTACCCGAGATTGGCATGGTTGTTTTGGAGCCGCTTCCCAAGTTGCTGTAATCCTGATTATATAAGAGAGATCCCAATTTGAGAAATCGATACTCCGGAAGTTTGACAAAGCTGCCTTCACTGCAAAAGCCTGAACTCAAAAATTCAGAGCTTCACGGCTCAGCAAATCCCATTACCAGCCACCACCAAGGTACTGCCCACGCTGTTGGGATCTACCCGCATGAGTTGCAAGGCTACCTGCACAGGGAAACTTCAGGATCTTCTGGGGAGGTCGTCTATTGGACGTTGCATGGCATGGCAATCAGAATAACAAATACGTACCTCCTGCAGGGCTGACTGCCGATTGGCTCAGGGAGCCGCATACCCAAGAGTTTGTGACTGACGGTTGCCAAGTCCAAAGGTGCTTATGGGATTCTGAGGTGCTGGGTTAGGCATAATGCTGACAGAAATACAGAGCCTCTTCGGATTCGAAGATTCGGCGAAGACTTTACTGGACTTCTTGGAACACCAGAACGTTGAACAAGAGTCCGGCCGCGTCAACTCCAAAGAACTTAGAACAGCTAGTTGTTTGAGACATGATGGAAAAAGTGAACAAGGATTCCGAGTGTGGAAGCTCTGCGAAGATCTCTAGCCAAACCATTTGGAAGGTACATCCAGATATGGGACCTCTCCACACCCCTCAATAAGCATTCTAGGTTAGATCCCAACGCTTCAACCCTAACACGAACCAAGAACCCTAAACCCGAACACCCGGACCTTTCAAGACAGTGCGTACATCCCAAGCCCCCTTGACCCTAAACTCCCTCGGCAAACAACCTTGAACGGCCTTTTCCATGTCCCGGACACTAGCTGCGCCGCCCAGGCGAGATACGGTGTAGCCCTTATCTGGCTTGAACCCTTTGGGCTTCGGGCTTAGGATTTGGGGACCGGTGGAAATCCTGGAGACTGTGGGGCTCATGCTAAGGAGACAGAACCATGCAGGGCTGCAGCATTGAGGGGTGCAACCACGCAGCCCTTGACAAAGAAGCTCTGCATGGTTCTACTCTGAAGGTGCTGAGACGAGTGCTGGGAAGTGAGCATTATCACTCACTCTCTACCGTGTTTTTGGCTATTGCCATGTTCTTGTGGATGTCGGGAAAAGCTTTGGCTGTTTGCGGCGACTTTGTCAGAGGACTCCGTGCTTCTCGGTGCTAAGAAGATCATGCAGCCTGATGCTCAGATGCTTCTCCTTTAGGCAAAGTGCTCAAAACTGGGCATTCTAGAACACCTGGAAAGCACAGAAAAACTTAGTACGTCTAAATAGCAAACAACAAATGCTAGTTCGCCACAACCCCCAATTATTTTACACACACAAACCCGCAACAAAGCCTCCTGCCTTCTGCGAAATGTCGTGTTGCGCAGCTTCCATCGCAGGCGCGGTCGTCATGTGGCGGAGGCCTCAAAAGCTTGCGGGTGAGAACGCAGGAGAGACGATTTGAAGGGTGTGGGGTTTCCGCGAATTGTATTGGGAGTTTCTGAGAATGTATTGAGGTCTTTTTCGGGGCCCTCCGTTTACGCAAGCCCCATGTGGATTCCAGGACAAGCGTATCAAGGTCTGGTACTGGTTGAGGCAACCTTCAGATTTCACAAGCTAGGCTCGCATTTTTTTATGGCTGAATTGTCACAACAGTTTGCACAATAGTCTGCATGAAGGGCTTTAAAACACAATTCCCAAATCCAGGATTTTGGGAAGTAAGTACCCCAAAACAATAGAAAATGCAGTCCTTCAAAAAAACCAGCCCAAACATTTGAAACTGCTAAAACGTATACTACACACTTAATACATAACCAGGATTCGGAAACTCCATGTTGCCCACTGAAGCCCCCATAACACATAATGGAATAGAAGCCTACATTACAAAGCCCTTTGACCAGTACGAAAGTGCACTGGCAACCTTCAGCTGAGGCGCTTTGGCGCAGGCCGCAGGCAACCCGAGCTGACAAGCGCCTGCAGACCAAATCGAATGCAGCAACTTCTCCTATGGAACTATATTACTATATTACTATATTATAGGGGTATATTATAGGGATTATTAAGGGGGATACTAGGAGTTTAGACAATGGCTCATATGAGCTTCCGCCTTCCTGTCAAGGAATCTACCAGAGACACTCGTGAGTTACCACAGTACACCCCGGCACCCACAACAGGCCAGCTCAGTACGTTAGGGCTCCTCGATGATGATTAGCACTCCTGTAAAAATGGCTGGAATGCAGGATTCAAAACCCAAATACAGAATCTGCTACACTGATCCCTACCTGCAGAGGGGCCAAGTCCGTTCTGCGTGTGCTACTGGAGCTAGTGCTGCGCAGTGCCCGGCCTGTGCATCTAGAGCCTTGGCTGCAGAGTGCACTGTAACGTGCAACCCCCTTCTAGTGATTCTACTCCGGGTCATGACATGCTAAAGAAGATCTGTTCAGCGCAGATGGTGCCTGGCCCCTGGCTCTATGTGAGCGTAATCATCAATTTGAAGCGTGAGGATGTTTTGGACAAATAGTGCGCGATGCGCGCAAGGTCCGAGCCTGGATGCCGCACATGCCATTTCATTCAACACTTGAAGCCTAACAAGGGAAGGCATGTCTTAGTGCACCCATGCACCTCACTAAAAGCCCACCCCAGGAACGGCAGCACCGAGCAAGACTTTGACCTAGTCTGTTCGATGAGGCACTATCAACGAATTCGCTAGCTCTGCGGGACTTTATTGAGAGACTGAAGGCCAGAGACCCAAACCCAACGTCGTTGAAGCACTTGCCCGCAGCAAGACGGCATCAAAAAGACTTTGCACGAGCAAGCCATACGTACTTCAAAGCATACTCATCGAAGAGGGCTGCTGGTATTGCTTCTTGGGCCCTTATTAATTACTTGGAAGACCTACATTTCAGTTGCAGGCCAAGATGCAAACCCCAAGGAGGTCCTCAGAAGCAAAAAACAAATTAAGGGTGTTGCGGCTGAAGCCAATGCGGCTGCAGCAAATAAGGCCATAAACTCCAAAGAGTGGATTCTGGCCTCAAGTCTTCACAGTTTGGGGCCCGTGCTTGGGCTCAGAACCCAGCCTTAGCGAAGGCCGAACCCTATGCACAAGCTTCTTCCAGGCTTCAAAACCATGACCGTTGAGCGCAGCTAAGAAAACAAGCTAATTGAAGGCAGACCGAAGCATAAGTGTCAATCATGGGCCGTCGCCAAAGACCCTACACATAGAGTCCTCACATATTTGCTTGAAACACATGGATGCATGTATGCATGTCAAGGAATTATTAGTGCCTGGTTTGAAAAGACTCCAGAATCATTACACACTTGCCACCAGACACATGTCAGTATTATATGAGTGCATCAAAAGTTCTGCCTCTAGGTGAGCTTTATGATTCTAGCTCAAGAGGCCTGCAGTCTGATCCTAACGTTGCTTGGAAGGCTTCGGAAGCACAAACCGACTTATTTTCGCTCTTTCAGCGCACTGTTGCCACTGGGGGCGCAGAAGTGCGCTTTGCACTAGCGGTGGACACCCGGCGGATCAGGCATGCCGTGCTTGGAAGAGGGGTCACCGTCGTGTAGGTGCCTACATTGTGTGTGGCTGCCTCTCGCACTGCGCTGAGCAAATTCCATTGATCTCAAGTGCACATCCTTTCCGGCACTTCTCATCTGACAGACAAATCTATTCGTCCATGACAGGTGAGAAACCCTGACGGCGGAGAAGAGTGAACAGGCATTGGTGCAAGGTTGGATGGGACACTTAGGTTGTAGTCACTCGTAGTCCGAGACAACCACTCACTTGTCATAGCAGATTATGTTCGTATCCGCCGGGCAGAATGCGGTCTATGTACACACGCTCCAGGTGCGCAGAGGAGGCTGCCAGACATGCGCCTAGAAGCCTCCTGACTTGTGAAACAAAAGCCAAGCATAAGTGGACTGACAAAAAGCTGCAATCCTCAACCAAGATCTCTTGCGGAAACCTTCGAGCCTCCAGCACTACATCTCGCCTCCTCAAGGCCCCCTGCCTGGCAGAAACCCAGCTGAAAGGTTGCGCACCTGGAAGCACCCACGCATCACTGCAGGTTGCAGCCGGTGCACTTCCTGAACTGGGGCACTTGGAAGGCCGCCAAACGTTGGGAATAGGAATCAGGGTATATATTGAGGTTATATGGTTACTATAATGGAGAATCAAATGGAAAAGAAAATGGAAAATGAAATGGAATCTAATAGTACTAGTAATAGTACTAATAATAATACTAGTAATAATAATTGTATTAATAATGGCAAGTCGAGCACGGTTTTTTCAGGAGCCTCAGTGCATAACTAATGACTGCAAGTTGTTCATTTTCTTTGCCAGATGTGCTTGACTCTCCAAATGGGGATTTGCCGCAGTCTCGCTGAATTTAGAGCCATGTAAAAAGGCTCAAGTGTAGGGAGGTCAGCTTTCACGGAGCTTTGATATCATCGTTGCAGCTTCGAGGCTCAAGAACTCAGGTCTTCCTGTGCTCTTGTTGCTGGGACAGGGAGTCTGGTTTCTGATGCGATGAAAGATTGTCTTTTAAAAAAAGGCACCTCATGGTCCAATGTTTCAACCGGCTGCGGTCCTCAGCAATCCTATTCCCTTCCGCCTAGGATGGCCTCAGCGCCCGTATGCACTAGCACTGTCATTGTCTTCCTTGAAGCTCGACTCCTGCAACCCTCATTCCGAAACCTAAAGCTCTTGTTGTACCATTACGGCCGCTGTAATCTAGGCAAACTCTGGAAATGTAGGCATGCGCTGTGACAGCAATAGCTATACTGTAGTCATGCTTCCGCTGTTGTTCGCGCCTGGGTGGGGTGTCGCCCTCTGCCAGCGCTGGAGCCAGCTCCACAGCCTGATGGTATGTTGAGCTACGATTGATGATTCAGGCTTTTTAGGCTGGTAGAGGTTCAGGGTCTCAGCGTTTTGAGAAAAAAGGGCTTAGGAGGACTTGCAGCCTCAGGCTTGCGGCAGGGATGCAGGGTTTGGGTCTTCGGATTCACTGATTGCAAAACCTTCTGCTCGGACTAGGGTGCTGGATTCAAGTCTTCAGTTTGAGGGATCATGGTTTGCACGCATGACTTGAGATTCGCACATCATTCCTGCAGACGTCGGGGTAGGCCGGGGGGGAACGTGACATGAATGATTGCTTTGCAAGAAGCCAGGCTGGCGCTCTAAGAGCTACTGCCTTCCAAAGGTTTAGCTTCCTCAAGCTCCCCAGAAACTTCGCCTGTCTAAACGTCTCTGGGTAAGGGCAGAGTCTAGGCTTGTTGCGGATCTGCCTGAGACGCCCAGAATGGAAGGCCGAGAAATTGCAAGTTAAGCCCCAACACACAAGAAACCACAACTCTGCCTCAATTCATCTACCTCGGCCCAAGCTCCAAAAAACCAGAATTGCAAAACTAGGCCTCGGCTCCCGTCGCATCCACCACAGCGCCCTTCACCCCGCCCGCAGCTACGACGCTGCGGACCTGACAGCACACCGTCAATACCCGCGAATGCAACCAAATGGAAGCTATCACACTACTTACAGTTGCAGATGCTACAGTACGTCATACACTAGTAGCATATCCATGTAAGGTTTATTTACTGTACCTTACATGTATGTGCTTCGAAACATCACCATGACTTGCAGTATAGCTATTGCCCTCCTCAAGAGGGCATCATTTCCAACAGTCTACTGTTGAGGAACTACACTTTAGTTGCACCACCTTCTGTTCGTTCATGCGTTCACTGCTACTTTGAAGGAAGGCTGCGGCCTGCTTCTTGGGTTGGATGGGTTGGGACTTCGGATTGAGAAGTCATCGGAGTTCTAACTCCCTGGTTTGGACTTGGATGCTTGGTCAATGCGGTGACGACTGTTGTAAGATGGTCCTTGCAAGCCCTTTCGATTGTCGTGGCATGGCTCAGCCTGCCACACATAAAGCCTCCACGTAGAAATCATTGGGGGTAACCGTAGACGATGGTCGCTGACTGCTGAAAGCCCACAAACACAATCACCATTAGCAGGCGTACTCCTTCATAAAGCTGCATCGCAGCGAGGACCTTCTTCGAACTACATCCACTCCACTGCAGCAGATGCTGCATTTCCCGTCTACAGCCGCCTGATGTTCATTTCCACCACGAAATTCCTAAACCGATCCTGTGCTCAGAGCTGACTGTTGAGCTGAACTATTCTGATATTTGCCCTACACTGGGGCAACTTGCAGAGGCGTAACTTACTACCCTTCGGCTTTCAGAATGGTGATGCTAGCTATGAAAACTGCAACGGCATCTGCCAACGAAAGCAGGCTCTATCCTTCCCCCAAAAAAGAAACAATCCCAGATCCTAGGCCGCCCCAAACAACACCAAGATCTTCCAAAACAATAAACCCCAAAAGTCTCGGTACAAACCCGCATGCTTCTTTGGGCGATTGTTGGCATCCTGCCTCCACACACGTGGCGCGTGCCTCGACTTTGGTAACACAACGGTTGGGAAAGACAGAAGAAGGGTTGACAGGAGCACACAAGGAATGCTCTGAACACCATTGAATACATTCGACTTGCATCACCATCAATGATGAGGCCAAGGGCTAGCGACTCTTGAATTTGCTGACACCGCAGCACGCGTAGTGGTACTTACAGCAATAACCAAAGCCCTCATGTAGGGGCTTGCATAAACAGAGGGCCCCAATGTAGATATCAGTATACTGCGATCCTTCTCATATCTTATAGAACCCCAAAAAAGGGAACCCCTCATTTTCGAAAGAAGCCTCATGCGTACCGGGAAGTTAGCACGTGGAAGCCAGCCCACCTGCTCACATACTGAGGCAGCCAGCGCGGCTTCGTTTCCTTCTGCAGAACTTCACAAGAACTGGTTCCACATTGGGATACTATCAACATTTATATATGAGAGTTTCTATATCACTGATGTTCAACGATGATCCAGAACGATCGCTTCCGGAATGGAGATCATGAGTGTTTGGTTCTGCTCGCAACGGGGACAGAAATCGCTAGGCGGGATTACATGGAATATGTCTGACAGGTAGGATTCTTAAAGACACTTGCGCAGGGTTGATGTGATGCATAACGCCGATAGGTCGTAGTACCGTTGTGGCCTCAAGGTAGGGCAACATCTCTAAGGATAAGTTGTTGCCTTAATTACTTCACAGATCACCATGGCATTAAATTATATTCTTGCCTACCTGACAAGGTCTGTCCACACCTGAAATGGATTGCAGTGGAGTCCGAGATCGGGTGAAAGAATAAAAGCAAAAAGCGCTGAGGGCAGGCGGGATTGTATGAACTCAACCGTGACTAACACCTATTCGCCCAGCGTTCAACTTGGTGCTGGTGTACTCGA